ATATCTGCTCCTACAATAATGTCAAATTTTTGTTGGAATTCCGGTTCAACCCCATTTGCTATATCTTTCCAATCAAGTTTTTCCACTTTAACAACATTTTGTAATTGATTCAAATTAATATTATATGCGACATTGGATAGAACATTTAGATGGTAATCAGTGAGTAATACATTTAGACATCCGATCATCGCACATGTCAGCCCAACCAATCCAGTTCCTGTACCGATTTCGAGAATGAATGTCGATTGAATTTTGTCCAAGGGCATTGCTTGACCAGAAGTACATCGTCTATTAAATTATAATACATATGTAAGAAGATTGAATAAACAAAAAAAAGGAAACCAATGCTTGGGAAATATTATATATGTGCGTTTCTACCTTGCTAATAAATAGGCTGCACCCCATGTCTTGAAGCCAACATCGTCATCGAGTAAAGTTGAATCGCGAATCTTTAATGAAATGGGTTTGTTGCTTCCTGGTGGTGCCGGAAAACTCCAATCTCTTATAATCGGACCTGATGCTATTTTATGCGCAATGCGAGAAAAATGATTAACAAAGTTGTATTTACAATTTTTTTTGGTCTTGACTTACCAACTTTACCGCAAGCAGCTGCAATGCATTTCGCTGCTCGTTCTACTACTTCTTCTCTTTGTGACTCAACATGTATCCACTCTAGAGGTGAAGCAATAATTCTGGTCAACCAATCGATTGCTCTCCTATTAGCGAACGAAGTTTCTTCAATATATTCTTGGGAATTACTAGTTTCCCAAATAGGTTTGGTTTGTTTATCAAGAAAATAGTGTTCAAATTGTTGAAGTACAGTGCTAAGAGTCTCATAGCTAGGTTGTTCTTTTTGGATAAACGGTAAATGTAAAGATTCCAGAGAGCTATTGTTGGCTTCTGGGATAAGTTGCTTTGACGATTTTTCATGCATTGGTCTTTACGAATGTATAATTGAGATATTGATAGAATTCAATTTAAAATTCTGACAACTGATCAATTTCAAAATTTAGATAGAATTCAATTTAAAATTCTGACAACTGATCAATTTCAAAATTTAGATAGAATTCAATTTAAAATTCTGACAAC